TCTCAGAGGGTGACATTAGAGCAGTAAGTCTGTCGGTTTCTTCCACTGTGTGACTAAAGCATTCTTCACCACTTCCTCCCTCCAGCTTCCTGCATGGCAATAAAACGCTCACGTGGTCAGTTTCCTGCCTTTTCTCACACGTCTCCCGAACACAGTGGCGGTTACATTCTATCAATAATACATAAAGTAAAAAATGTAAAAAGAAATTTAAAAAAGCAGCACGTGGAAGAAAAATAATAAGTAAGACTACAGAACAGAAACTTTTTGAGGTTGGCCAAGCAGGAGATAATGTAGAACACCCTCATGTGTCTGACAAGCTGACAACCTGTACTAACCACACGCTAACATGACCTAAAAATGATCCCTGAAGTTTCCCTAAAGCTCATGTATCAAAGCATCAAAGGCTTCAAACGCCACAGCTTCCAACAGCACCTGAAGAGTGAGCCATTTAACATGATTCTCAATGTAATACTGTCAAAATTGTCAAAAACATGAAGGTTAACAACACCGTTGCGTGGCAGAATACTTCATTCTGACACAAAGATATACTACTTTCAAATGTGGGCTCTGGCCTAACATGTAGCAGAGCTGAGTGACGTGTGCAAAAATAAAATTATAAATCCTAGCTTGTTCCTAGTGAATCACAATATATCTTTAGGTGCGGTAAAACACTAATTGTACATCACAACAAAGCAACGTCACTCTGGAGCCGTCATTCAAGCGTTTCATAGAGAGTGAAATTGCCTAATAATGTTATTCAAGGCAACAGAATTGTATATGGGGCTTTAAAATAAATAAAAAACTCATATGATTCAACAATTATAATTAAGTTTAAATTACCCATACACACTTTGAAGCAGCTGCATGTCTATACGATGAAGGAAAAGGAGTGTCTGCCGTTCCACTAAAGCTCTCCCATGTCCAGAGTGTCTCATTACAGACGCCACAGCTGAACTGTCCGTTCATCACTGAAGCCCTAATTACTTTAATCACCAACGAAATGACAAGCATGATTAGAATCATTAAACCCCACTTTAATTAATAAGGGTTCATTAGCAATTACACTCAAAAAAACCTGACGGATAATGATGGACATGTGTCAATGTCGACACTATGCCAGCCTCTCCTTCTGCTTAATACTTAGGCAATTTCTAAAAGGCATTTGTGATATTATTTCAGAAACACTTAATTCCACCAACAACACAAAAGCATGACAAAACATGTGTAATATATATACAGCACCACTTTCTGTGCCTTCGTTGCTGCTGTGCTTCCATGATTTCATATTCAAATTCAGGATTAATATTAGCTTCAGCAGATACAAAGCTGCTCCATAGCCTCACTTTATTTGAAGCCACCAAAATGGCATATGTCTACAAACTACTATTAAACTATTCATTTTAATAATTCATACCATTTTTTTTCTTTTCACATTCCCATTATCTGCAATAAAAACAATGTATATCTATAATAACAAAAAGAAATGGCGGACTTTTCATACTCCCCTAAGGTGTCACTTTCTTTTATAACAAACTAATTATTCAACATTTCTGATCTTATTTTTACGTATCAAGCAATATTCAGTCTCTTGACTGGCTGATTACATTCCGGCATAAAATGAACCAGCAAACACACTGCAGAGGATGAAGATTGGTACTAAACATGTGTTACTTTAAACAGAACATCATTGATTGTTGAATAGCATCACGTCACAATTTTACAAAGTTGCTGACGTGCAGCTAAAGCCATTGGTACATAAAATGTCTGCTTCCGCATGACAATGGCTCACATAACGAACAGATGCAGAAGTTAAACCGAGAAGTCCTCAACATAAGCTGGTACCTACACAGTCTGTGATGTCAAGTCACATGTTTCTATGGATGCACTGGGGATCCTTTTCCCTCTCTCTGTCCAGTGAGGTCATCTTTTACTCTGGAATGCAGAGCGATAATATATTTCCCTTTCTGTCCAACCGGCTCCCCTGGATTCCTTTAAAAAATACCTCATTCCTTCTGCCTGTTTTATTGGATTTCGTGTTTTTACAACATTAAAAAAAAAAAAAAAGGACATTATCACAAAGGACAGCTACAAACAGAAGAAAAGTTTGGAATTGTGTGCATCTCTGAACACAGTGGTGTTCTTCTAATGTCCTTGGCTGTGTTGGGTATCTACATTCTGGGCCTGAAGCCCGAATGGTACTTCTGTGATGTAATCCTGCCCAGTGACTTGTTAAACAAACATTTCAGTGTTTCTCCTCTAAAAACTGATTTGACTTTGCTGAAACCAAGCGGTGCCAGTGTCTACCACTTTGTTTACTAGCCATGCAAATGGTCCTGTAACTTTCAGCAGCTTTCAGAGTGTGGAGAGGCAGTTACAACCTCTACTTTGATCCAGCTCATGACGTATTTCATTCTTGGGTCTGGACCACGTTTACACAAACTACACTGCATGTCAGGAATGTAATCCTATAGCCCCAAATATGGTGAAAACTATAAATAGTTGAGTACAAGTTAATATTAAAGTGTCTTTTGTCAGTGTGAGATGACATAATCATCTACAGAATCTTGAAACACGAATTGCATTTTTTTGTTTCCATTTCTCTTAACAGATGCTGAATTGCTGCTTCACTGATCAAAACTAGCACACACCTTCAAGCGTGTACACTTCAGCTTATGTACATATCTGCAGCAAACTTGGAGCTCACAGTTTACGTAGGGGTAGATAAAAACTTGGAGTAAACAAAAGGGGATCGTGTCTCCACCCGGGGGTGAATGATTACTTCCTCCCCCCTAAACTCTGTGTTGAGATTTGTGCAGCAGAGACAGTTCAGGCTTCCTTTGCCTCCGACCGCTCTGCCTGGAGTATTGAGCAACAGGGAACAGGCCTGAGAACACTTTAGGAACGAAAAGCAATGATCTCACACATACTTTTCACGAGAGACTTTTGCTGAGTGCTTATGTCATCCAACACTCCCTTGCAAGCAATTCACAAACTCGGGAGGCAGGACATTCAAGAGTTGCAGGCTGTTGTTAGGATTTCTCAAGACAACACCCTTTGGTAGCTCTGGGAGTGCATGTCCTCTCAGTCCATTCTGGGGTTTCCTGTCAAAAAGCTAATGTTGTCACACGTTCCCTCACCTTAACTTTGCTGGAACACGACCAGTGATTTTGAGTTTTACCAATCTGAAAGACACGAGTGGGACTGTTTTCCTCATTATGTCAAAGGTTTAGGAAAACTGCACACTAGAGCAACACAACCTACGTCAACAACTGAGGAGTTAATGAAGTAATTAGCGATCAGTCCAACTCGGCTCATTGGTCACTTTCTAGAAAAGTAGAAGCACAACTCAACAGGCCTATAGAGGCCAAATATAAAGCAACACTACTACTACTCAATTATTGTCTGTAGAGGTTCAGCTGTAGTCAAGCTTTCCATGCTGACAGATATGGAAAAGCAGAGACAATGATCAACAGCAACCAAAGTGTTTGGTCCCTGATCACGGAAAATGACTTTCAACCACTGGTTCCTACGGCTGCTGACAGTGTGTAAACAGCGACATGCACTTAACACACTCGGTTGTATAGTTTAGATTTACAGGTTTACTGTGGCACTTAACTGTTTGCCTTTGCAAAGCAGCTGGATTCTTGCAAGGTCACAAGATCACACGAGAACCGCAAGATCCCTTATCACACAAAAGAAGTCCATCACCTCAGACTTTTTATTCAATACAACAATGGCGGCCCCTCAAAGAGGTTAGCATAGATGCTGCAATAGCATCAGTTACATCACAACTGGAGAGTATTTCTTCATTTAAAGAAGAGCGAACAAACGGCAGAGTATGCATTTTTTTTGCTTGATTGGAAAAGATGTTTTTGGCTCTTCACCAGACTAGGAGTTAGATTGGCAGATGGTTCATCCAATCACCTGCCACTTACTTTGTGAAAGTGCCTGTCATTTTCCACACAGTTTCCAATGACTATATGTCAGATGGTTGTTTGTACCAATCAGGTGATTTAATTGCAGAATGCTCTTGGAAGTAAAACACACTGTTGTTTCTGCACAGCAGGAGTTGTCAGTTAGAAGTGATTGATCCAGAAACACCTGCACCACTCCCACCAACAGTCCACCACCCCCCAAGTCTTGATCTCTTTCCGGGCAATGACCAGCATGCAGGAATAGCTCAATGACGCCACAGCTCCAGTGATGCAGGCCCGGGGTTGCCCACTTTCTAATTAAGCACATAAGCCCACTCTACATTAAACTTGCAAAGCCAATAGAGAGGCTATGAATGAAATGAATGTTGACACAGTTGCTATCTAATAGACAATGTTCTCCTGTGACTGTCATTTATTGTGCTGATAATACTGCTAAGGCTGACCAAGCATAAGTTTTATCAATCACACACACACTCACACAGTTCATAAAACCACCACGAGCCGCACAGCTATCATGCTCTGCGATGAGTCACCCTGTAAGTGAACTTTGTGCATCAACAAATGTATTGAAGTTTAACTGTCACAACAAGAACGCTCTCCAACAAACTTTCAGGAGCTGTATCGGAGGAGGATAATCACAAGATGCACTGAGTGCTTTGAAAAGTAAAGCACTCAGCGTAACACTATCTTTTACTCAGCTGTAACAGCTATCAGCTCCTCTGTATTGGGCAACATTAAATAGTAATAATAACACATCGATAAGTAGCCTCATCCTGCACTAAAGCAGAGCTGTGCCGTTTACTAACTGTACAGGAGTTATGTATCAACTTGGTTTTGATTTTGACTTCATTACACTGACTGACTAAAAACTGTGAAACTACCAGAAAGGCAAATCTTTCAGTGCAATGTGCCCAATAAAGACATTTTTTCCAGGGGGGGAAAAAAAAAGCACAGTGGTTACATTTTCGGCAACTATGCAACTTTTCTCAGTTGAGAGTGAAATTAACCCTTGCTTGTGAGAATACAGGATGTGAAAGTTGGCAATTAGTCCGTCTGAATACTCACCAGCTTCTTGTTTTTACCCTCGTCCTCGCTGGACTTCTTTTTAGAGGGTTTATTCGGGTCATCCCCGCCGCTCGCTTGATCCATTTCGACTTTTAAGTCACTTTCTCTCCAGAAAGACCGAATGCGGACCTCCTCAAAAAGTTGGCAAACTCCAGCAGCAAAAAAATATTGACAAGTACAGCAAAACCATTCAGCTTAGGTCCGTTTAAAAGGTAATGAATATAAATTCAAGTTGACCGCCTCCAAATAGTTCCCGAATAGTATCCAAAAAGTGGAGGGGGCTGCTCGTAGAAGAGGAGGTGTGGTAGGATATGGTATCCGTCCTGGTGTCTCCTCAGCTAGGCAGCAAGTCGCTTCACACAGCGGGTAAAGGCTTCCTGAAATTACCAGAATAATATGCAAACAATAAATAACTAGATGGAGACAATTACTTGGGCGTTCAGTTGCACGAATGTTTGCTTTAACACGTGTTTCCCCGTGCAGCCTTGTTAGTATGATGCATCCAGTGAATACTGTGAGCGGTAAAACATATGTAAACAAACATGTAAGAAGAATAGACAGCTCGGTAAAACAAAAAAATGCAATGTGTTTTTTACGTTTACATACAGATCCCTGTGTTTGGACTGGGCTACATCTTTGGAGGAAGCAAACTTACAACCGTGTAACTTAACAATAACATTGTAGCCACCGAGAAAAGGAGGTTTCATGTCCGCCAGGATGCTCTGACAGACTTCAACGTGCCCTGACGAGGCTGTTATTCAGCGGACAAAACGGCCATTCATCTGAATTAATGAACAATTGTTCTAATAGTGAGAATCACCGTTGTTCTCTTTGCTTGGTATACTTTGCAGTGCTGTACACTTAGCCGTGCTAGCATAAAATCACGACCGTAAACAACCGAACAGTATTTATTTTGACAGCCACCGTAAAACGCGAACACATACAACACTACGCTATAAAATACAGAATGAACCGTTAATAAAATGTCAAAGAAAACTCACAAAATCCCATCCAAAGCTGACATTAGCAACCAAGCGTGATAGCCAGGCCCACGGTGATTCCCGCCCTCCTGGATTCTGATTGGCCTGTGAGATACGGAAGGAGTGGGGACTCCACAGCTGATTGGTCAGCTGCGTAGACCGTCATAAGGTCGGCGTGGCGTCGGGGGGGAGGAGACTGTTGTGACGGAGAGGTCAGTCTGATCTCGCAGCAGACGGATGGGACTCATTCATTTGTAGGAATAGATCTTATGAAAGAGCGGATAGGAAGCAAGGCGGGAACACACCCCGAGTGTGTGTTTGAGTGTGCGGTATGGTCACACAAACACACCCCAGATGTGTCTATGTGTGAGATAATAACAGCTGGTGTTATTTAGTTATCCAGTTACATAATAGAGTACCATCATATGGGCCTACTGTGTCTGTGTGACAAAAGTATATATTTTTTCTGCATATGTAAGAAGGAAATTTTAGGGAAATAGAGCTTTAAAAATAAATCACAAGCTGATTAATTGATTAGTCAATTCACAGAAAATAACTTAACAAGAAAATAGAAACGGTATCTTGACAAAAAAAAATATCTTTATTTGCATCTAATACTCTTCATCAGCAGAGTTATCATCATGTGACCTAAGTATGGACCTTCAGTCATGAAATAACACATCGCCATATCATCATACAAAAAATGTGGTGATCAACTGATCATTTAAAGGAATAGTTCGGCATTTTGGAAACCCACTTGTTTGCTTATTTAGACAGGAAGATTGCTATCACTCTCCATTACCTGGAAACCAACAGAGACTCGGGGAAATATTGGTCCCAGTCATGAAATAAAAAGTTATTTAAAAAAATATAATTATTAATTAAATGTAAAAATTAGATATAACATGTGGATTTTATTGTCGTTGGACAGAGCCAGGCTAGCCTTTTCTGCCCATTACCAGTCTTTGTGTTAAGCTAAACTAAGCTAACCAGCTGCTCTATCTAATATTTATCACATAGACATGAGTGATATTAATCTTCCTCTCATCTAACTCTTGGCAAGAAAGCGTATTTCCCAAATGTTGAACTATTACATTTTTGTCATTTAATGATGAATGCCGTACATTTGGTTGTTCCAGCTTCTAAAAATGTGCTGCTTTTCTTTGTCCTGTGGGAAATGTAATATCTTTTGGATTTGAAACAAACGAAATAAGTAAATTCAAGATATTGCTTTTACATTAACTAAAGGTGAATAAGATCCCATATTGGGGATAAAGTTACATGGAGCACAAAAATAAATTCTTCTCAAGCTGGTCTTTAGGATAAATGAGTCTGGCTCATTCTTTGAGGTCACTTATTTTCAAGTCTATATCATATTTAAAGGGCACCTCTTCACTGAAACTAGAAGTTAGGTGAAGAGGAGTAGAATATATCAATGTGCATTTAGAAAGTCAAATAGAATTCAAAGGTTAATTGCAAAATAACTAAATATAAATGGCAAAATATTAAACTAAGAACATTCTTGTAGTCACAGAATTGTAACCTTTTTTCCAGAGTTAAAGTCCTGATGTTCACGAGGAGTATAGTGCATTTTGAATGGAGACAGGGCTATAAAAAAAAACAGAAGGATCTCAATACTATGACGTCAGTTAAGTTGACATGTTTCAGCAAACAAGCCTCCATCAGGGCCAGAGTAGCAATGATTGACCTCTCAGCAGCATGAGTTGGGTGATATTGAGTGAGCTTCAGCATCCCTGGCTGAGTGATGGTCTACCACTGCGTCTGATGGTTCACAAACGCTTTAATGAAGACAAGAGATTGTGCCCTTGTCAACCAGGAGATAAACAATCAAAAAAAGACAATTTTGCCCTTTTGTTGGGAAGACATGGACGGAATGATTTGTCTACTTATAGGATATGTGTCCAGTTGTCTGATTGCCCCACAGACACGAGGAAAGTAATCATTTAACCTTCCTGTTGTGTTCAGATCTATATTGACCAGTTTTCAACTTCACATTGAAATAAATGTGTTATTTTGTCTGATCACCAAGAGGTGTTGTGACACAATTGACACTTCAAATGTTTCTTCCGTTCTTCTTCTTGCCTAGCGACACGTAAACAAACTATTCCAATATTGAAAACATTTCAGGAGCTCACATCCAGCTACAGTCACACTTTTACACTTGCATCATTTCCTTCCCTCACACAAATCTCACTTCTCCAATCAAGAAAACCAAACAATATTACATATTTTAGTTATGAGAACAACGCGATGTTGATCCAACCACAACATGACCAGCAAACACACATCAGTGTGGGGAGTTTTGGTCTATAAATAAGGCTTCTCTCTTGCTCGCATGTCATTCTGTTGCATGTGACCACTATGTGCAAGCAGCTAACTGTAAATAAGACACTTGATCTCTGTTTTGGATCATTTCCCTGATGAGCAGAGGAATATGGAGCGTGAAGACATGGTGGAAGAGGAAGTCTCTATGATAGAGGAAAATAATAAAGGATCAGAACCAGGAGTCAACTCATTTTAAAACGTAAAGAAACACAACTGTTTTATAGACAAACGAAAGTATTGTATCACAAGTATTGAAACATTTCATTTCTAACCACAAAGGCACTAGAGGAAAAGGTGTCACAGGGGTCATTAAGAGTCATACTCAAGAGAGCATGAATGTCCGTAGAAACATGTTTTTCAATCCATACAAGTATAGCAATTTCACAGTATAGGTGATGTTCATTTCTAGGTGCTATTAGCACCCAGGTGTCAGAAGCCAACAATACTATTTGCACCCAGGCGGTACAGCCATATGTGGCAATTTACACCCGGGTGTATAAAGTAGATCAGGCTCAGAGAAGGTGAGGGCCAGTTTGGTCAGAGATGCAGGGTGAGGGAGGAAACAGCTCCACCTGAAAAAACAAATACAAACAAAGAAAGGAAAATGGCAGCATACTGCTTTAGTAGAATGCATGAGCCACACATGCAAAAAGTTCAGCAGCCAGCTGCGTGTCATCATACTGCAACTCATGCAAATGGCCATCCAACAAACGCATACAAGATCTCAATGCAGATCTTTAAACAAGCAACTATATCCTGCAGGAGGGCAGACCTGAACTAAATTGTGGTTAAATATATGATTTTCAAACATAGTAACAATAAGTTACTAAAATGCTTTTTTGGCAAATTATCTTTTTCAGATTTAATTGTTCCTTTTTCAGGATATTAAGTATACACAGCAAGTTCTGTAAATTGATTAGAACAGCAATTACGCTTTGAGACCGGCATAGTGATAACCTAAACAGATGGAGTATGAAATATGACAGCGAAATGGACCTTTCTTAGTTTACCCAGTTGTTGTTGTTGTTGTTGTTCCGATTCTGCCTGATCACTTTAAAGATAAACGTCCAATTGCAGTAAACATGTTAAGCATTTTGGTCCATGATTTTCAGTTTCCTCTGTATGATATTACAGTCCAGCTGCTTCAAAGCAGCTCCAAACATTAAATTAGGTCATTCAGCTTTCCATCTGCCCACGTTGGACCAATGTCATTCACTGTTGGGTTGGGCCTATAGAATATTTTTGCAAGAAACTGCAGCAAAGCAGTGCTTGCAGTTTGTGAATCTGACCATGAGGCTACTGCACAGTAGATTTCTAAATAAATTATAAACATTAAAACTTGAAAATAGATTAATCTAAGAGCATTATGAACACAATCATCCCTATAATGGTGTTTATTTTTGGTACAAATTATGTCCAATTTCTTTGTCAAACAGGTCAACACAAAAAACAACACAAAATGAACATGCAGTAGTGAAGCTGATTCTGCAGCTCATGAATAACATCCTGCACTGTGTGTTTCTTTTGTTAATCCAATGTTAATCCAAATGCCAGCGATCTTCTAGTATGACCCTGGTGAGTCTGTGTCTATTTTTTGGGTAGCTAGCGTACACTGGAGTCAACATTCCCTCGCAAGCTCTATAATTATATTCAGGCAGCTGCTCTGGATGTGGGACATCATTTTCCCAAGAGTCATTATTCCATTCTGACATGACTGACCATGGCCGTGAAAAAGAAGATACTCCAGGATAATAAAAAAAGAATAAGGTCTGAATACTTTTTTAAAGTATGTGGTTAAATGTTTTTCCATTGGTGTCAGGCTCATCACTGCACTCGAGTTTGCTTTGCAAATCTATCACCACATTAATTTAAAAGCTGTTGGTTGAAGATGGTTGGAATCCTAACGTGCCCTGTTGCGATCAAAAGAGCACTCTGCCACTGCTGGAAAAAATAAATCTGTATAACGGGGGGCTGTTTGAGTCTGGCAGTTATTTAATTCTTTAATTCTGCCAAAAGTTTTTCATATTTACTGTTCACATCCTATTTAGCACTTGAGCCAAAAGATCCCGACTGAACCTCCCAGCATGCTTTGCACTTGTTATGCAGATCCAATCCTCTCCTATTACAGTATGGCAAGACTTGGAAAGATATGAGGCTGTCGTAGGCAGCGACGTCAAAGAGCACTGTGTTTAGACCTGAGAGATGAAAGATAAATTACTTGTAAATTATTCATTGCCCCCCCCACCGCACTACAAGGCAGCACCACACTCGTCTCTAGTCTGGCAGAGCTCACTACGAAGTTAGGACAAACTCTGCTTGGTTTCCTTACCACTGCGAAACCCAAACATATTACTTATATAAACTATGCACTAATAGGAAAATTCTTAGCTCATTTTGTTTGCTCAGTATGTTTATGAGATAAGGGCCTTTTAATCATATTGGATAAGTATTTGTATCACCAATTAGAATATGAATGAGTCTTTATTATAAAGTGTCTAATGCTGTGTCATTTCACTGTCACATCAAGGTAGAAATCTGAGGTAGAAAATTCCAGAAAGATGTGAAAGAAGCGAGCAGTGGCTATATCTGACATTTGTTTTTGTGTTACCATCATTTTGCAATAGCAACTCTTTTTTTCTCATGTCAACTGTTTATTTTCAATAGCCTACTTTCAGATAACACCAGAAACACATTAAAAGACAGGATACAAGGACACCGACACTTTCATTGAGCCTCCACTAACCAACCGCATTAAAATGTTTTTTTCATTGAAA